ATCTAAATTGAACAAGGCGTTCGAGACTTGAGCATCTATGTGTGATTCTGTTCGTAAGAAGACAAAACTAGTAGCAAAGTCTTAAACTGAATATATAGTATCGGAACATTTTTTTTTTTAAGCAATCAGGTTAGTATTTATATTGCATAGCTTATATATATATTATATATTTAAATTTACCGGTATATTTTATTAATTTTTGCAATAGAATTTTATTAAAAAAATAATGCCCGAAACCTTGGTTTGGTGTACTTACAGTGTTTGCTCATTAAGTAAAGATGGCGGCTCTTGGAAACTAAAAAGTGCTAGAACTCGGCATCGGAGACGTGATAGGTGAAATGTGCGAAGCCCTAGTAATGATTTAGAATTACAAAATAATATTCAAAATCAAGCAGCATACGGTTTTTACCAAGAAACATTTGAGCCTGAACTTTATAATCTAGAAAATGATGGTGAATTTGAGGAATGGTCGGGAAATAATAATAGGTTAGGAAATGTCGACGGACTTGAGAATAGGTTCGAATGTGCTAATGAATTTGAAAATGAATTTGAAAATGGATTGGACTGTGATGATGAATTCGAAGGTATCGATGAATTTGAAAATGGGTTAGACTGTGATGATGAATTCGAAGGTGTTGATGAATTTGAAAATGGGTTGGACCGTAATGATGAATTCGAAGGTATTGATGAATTTGAGAATGGAATGGAATATGATGAATTTGAAGGTATTAATGAATCTGAGAATGGTTCAGTAATTGATGAATTTGAGAATTGGTCAGAAAGCGATAGTAGCGATTCAAGTATAGCTAGTTCAACTTTAATAGATAATGAAGGTAATTATACCTACTCTGTTACAAAAAAAAAGTTATGAATTTGTATTTTTTATTTAATTATTTTTTTTTTTAACACATTATATTTTCTATTAAATTTTAGAGAATATCCCTTTTATATCCTCTGAACTTGCCGCAGTAATTCGACTTCTTAAGGTTAAAGCACAGAATAACCTTACCGATGAAGCCTTTAGTGAAATTATGAAAGCCGTAATAACAAAACCGATGAGCTTATATATGATCAAAAAAAAATTATCATCATTAGTTTCGTTTAAACCTGTGTGGATAGACATGTGCATTAATACTTGTTGTGCTTATACTGGTAATTATAGCAGTCTTACTGAATGCCCATATTGTAAAAAAAGCCGATATCAAGATCGACTTCGTAAAAACAAACAACGGGAAGCACATCGACAATTTGCATACTTCCCGATTATTGATCGTTTCATAATTCAATATCAAGATGCAACACAAGTGAAAAACTTGCATTATCGTGCAGAATATGTATCAAGGCCAGAATACTATAATAATAAAATAATTGGAGATGTATTTGATGGTCAGCGATATAAAAATCTTGTAAAAAAAGGACATTTTAAAGAAAAACATGATGTCGCGTTACTAGCATCAATTGACGGTTTTCAAATTTTCAAACAAAAAACAAATGATTGTTGGATTTTATTATTCATAAATGCCAACTTACCACCGGAGCAACGTGTAAAGAAAGAAAATCTTCTCATATCCACAATTATACCTGGTCCTAAAGGACCGAAGGATCTAAATTCTTTTTTATCTCCTGCTGTTGCAGAATTGCGCCGATTAGAGGAAGGTGCAGAATGCCCTAGTATTAAGTATAATGGTACATTTGTACTCCATGGATGTGTGCTTTCTTGGTCTGGTGATACACCAGCACTTACCAAATTAATGGGCCTAACGGGTCATAATTCATATAAAGGATGTCGTTATTGTAATATAAAGGGTATTTATTCTTCACATGTATATTACCCTACAAAACTACCCAGAGATCAAGAAGGTGAAACTTACGACCCAGAAAATCTACCGCTCAGGTCCCATAAGGAGTACAAAAGTCAAATACGAAAAATTCAAAATGCACAAACAACATTAGAACAAAATCAAGCAGTTAGACGTTATGGAATTTCTTTTAAAAAGAGTATTCTATTTAATCTTACCTCTACCAGCTTTCCAAAGACATTTCCAGTAGATATTATGCATCTATTTTATGAAAATATCGCTGGTTACATGCTTGCTCATTGGACGAGTTCATTTTTTGCAGACCATAATCAAAACAATGGTGAATATGTTTTAGCTAAAGAAACATGGGATAAAATCGGAAAAGAAATGAAATTAGTTAGAAAAACAATACCCTCAAGTCTTGGCCGTTCATTGCGAAATATCATTTTATATCACAATGGCTATAAAGCCGAAGAATGGTCAAATTGGATTACAATGTATTCCTTACCATTTCTTAAAAATAGATTGCCAAAAAAATACTATGAGGGTTGGGGATTGTTTGTAAAAGCCGTCCGGCTATGTCAAAAGCAAATAATAACTTATGATAATTTAAATAAAATTAAATTATGCTTATTATCTTTTTATTTACACTATGAAAAAGAATACTACCGTGGATTATCAGAGCGCTTAAGTGCAATGAAGATGTGCATACATTATATGTTACATGTATCTGAAAGTATTTTACAAACTGGACCTTGTTGCACAACATGGCAGTATCCAATAGAAAGGGTATGTGGGATGCTACTTCCACTAACAAGATCAAGGCTTCATCCTTATAAAAATCTTTCTAATAACATTCAATTAATTGAAACTTTTAATTGTTTAAAATTTAATCGAATGATTTACAATCAAATTTTCCCACCAATTTCGCCCAAAATACATGATGAACACCTTGCTTATACTGGAGAAAATGGTCAAGACTTTTATTTTCCCTCAGCCAATTACAAGCTGTCGCAAAGCGAATTGAGAAAAATTAAACAACATTTCTCCACTATATCAGATGTATCGGGTTTGCAACTTATGTCTTTTAGCCACGAAGGAACAAAATATGGGCGGCTTAGAACAAAAGATGGTCATTATATTGGATCAAAATGGATTCATCGAAATGAAGATTGGTCACGAATTAATTACACCGTTATGGTAAAAATTGAAGTTGATATTTATGCAAACTATCCAAAACGACTATCAGTATTTGAAGTTCAAGATTTCTATGCTATTGTTGAGTATTATTTAACATATGAATTTGAAGGGTCTAAAGCAATGTTAGCTTATATTCAATGGACGTCATCTGTTGAAAAAGATAATGTTGGTTTAAAATCATTTAGACGATTGGGTGCATATGCATTTATTGACGCGTCTGCAATTGATCATTGTGTTGGGTTTATTGAGATTGCAAATTTATTTTATATTGTAGACAAAGAAGTTGACAATGAACAATAATATTTTTTAAATTATCTTTTTCACTTGTTCTGTAGTATAGTAAATATAGCGGGTTAGAAATGTTAATTCACCAGAACTATTTCTGTTTATTTATTGTACAATTACAATATAATTTTAGTATATCTTAGTTAATACAGTAGCTATTATAGTTACTAATATAATAAAGCAAAAACACTGTATACTTTTTGTACAAATCTTATACCAAAATAATTGGACAATTTTATTATTATAAATCATTATACAATTATTCCATATAATTATTAAATAAATATTGAACAAATTTATAAAATTGTATAATTTTTATACAATTGTCGATAAGCTAATATTTTTTGATTTTTACATAGCAGTACAAACACTACACAATAATGCTTCTATTTTGAATAAAAACTGTATGGGGGCTAACAAAGATATAACATATTTAGGATAACTTTTTTTTATAGGGAAATCAATGCCCTATCGAACGTTAATTCTAACTAATCCACTTACCTTTTTTGTTACCTACTTTTTTGTCATCTATAT